GAGGATTGTTTTTAAATAGGAAGAAATCAATGTTATTATTATTTTTTAAACCCCACGGCTCCTCCTTGCTGTTTCCTGAGCACACGCAGCATACAGGGCATATGTCGGGGCCTCACAAGGGCCGGGCAGTGGCTGGATCTGGTTTTTGCCCCATGCTGGATGTGCTAGGGCCACCGGAGTCAGCACGAGTCAAGGTCTGGGCATCCCCCATGAAACAGCGGGCCACTAGGATGGAGGCCCTTTCCCTCCTCCCCTGTCTGTGTTTGTCCAGGAATCTCAGCAGCTCTCAAAGAGCCCCTGCCTGGTGCGCCCTTCTAGGAGCCGTGGGGCAGTGGGCTTGGCGGGGGGGGGGGGGGTCTAGGTCCGGGTGAGGACTCACGTCTCCATTTGCTCTAAAGAAGCTCTGTGTGACAAAACATTCCGGAGTGATGGAAATGTTCCCTCTCTGCACTGTCCCATATGTTAGCCATCAGCCACATGTGGTTGCAGAGGAGGCGGGGTCAGGGCAGGATGGGCAGGGACTCAGGTTGTGGACCGGAGCCCCGGGAGATACTGGCTGGCTTGGTGGCCTCTGTCCATCCTCCCGGCCCCAGCCAGGTTTGCACTTTTACTTTGGTGAACACTTAGCAAAGAACAGAGGCTCCAGGAGGGCAGCAAGGGCACTGCGTTTGCCTTCTCCTCTCTGCCATCTCCCCTGCAGCAAACACAGAGCCTGGCCCGAAGTGAACAAGGGCAGTATCCCTCATGCCCATCACGTGAATAAGATGTGGCCTCTGGCATGACTGGCCCCTTCCTGACAATGGAATGCACTCATCCATTCTGAGGAACGACCCGCTCAAGCCCAGCCTGGCACCTTCTGTCCCTACCTGTCAAGCTTTCAGACTGGAGCCCACCTCATCACAGAACACATCTTCAAATATCTGTGACCAGTCAGCCCTCTTTGGGGCTTCTCTTCAGGATGGTTCTCTGCGGGAGCCCAAGCTGATGCATCAGTGGCCTTGTGCCACCAGGGAATGGGTGTGGGAGGTGGCTTCAGGGTCCAAGTGAGGACTCGGGTTTCCATTTCCTGTAAGGCAGCTCTGTATAACAGAACATTCTGGAGTGATGAAAAATGTCTGTGATGGTAGCCACCAGCCTTATGCACCTGAGGAAGTGCATTCTAATAAAAACTTGCACAGTGCAGGTGGAGAAAGTGCCTTGAGCCTGTGGCCTCAGGGAACAACTTCCCATTGGAAGAAAATGGTTGCTCATTTCCTGAGGGACCCACCTACAGAACAAGAGACGCTGGCTCAGGACCGCTTTAAATACAGTGCTCTCCAAGGACACTGAGACACACCCGCTTTGCACAACTTTGATTTGGAAGCCAGATTCCGGAAACCTCCTCGTGCTCAAAGAGTCCTGCCAGTCCCAAGATTCCCCAACCGGTGGCATTTCCACCCTTGCCCTGTTGCGCTGATTCGGGTTCTGCCACCTACTCAGCCACGTGACCTTGGACTTGTCCCTTTCCCAACCGTGGGCAGTCTAGGATGCCCGAATTTCCCTGCATTTGAGACCTTCCTTCCCTCTGCCCCGGTGACGGTGACGCGTGGTTCTGATCCTTCTCTGCAGGCTCCCAGGCCCGCTGCCAGCACCGCCCACCCAACAGAAGGAGCCCAGGCAGAGGAGGGCCTTCTAGCTAGGCACCACTTGGCCTAGCTTCTGCCAGCTTAGCCAGGGCAGGGAAGGGAGGAGCCCTGTGAATGCTCCGGGTCTCTGCTTTGCATACCCAGCCCGGGGCATTGCTGGGGAGCTTGCTGCAAAGTCACAGCGAGAGCCCAGTGCCTCGGCCCATCTCCGAGATGGCACTGGTGAGGTTCACAAGTGCTTAGATGGAAGCATCCGCCTTCGGTGCCACAGCCCAGGTCCCTATCTCTCCGCTGCCCTTTACATGCACCACCAGTGCTTCACAGTGCCCTGAAGGGGCCACGAATGCAAAGCAAATCAGTCCCTGACTTGCTGGAGATTGATCTAAATCCACCTGTTGTCCATTTCTCTTAGTGGGTAGATGGGGCAGAGGTGCAAGTTCTTCTCAAGAATCCCCGGCCTCAGCCCACAGGGCTGGGGTTACCCTAGACAGTGAGTTCACAAGAACCGCACTCTATTCTGCTGACTTCTGCACACACTTCTGGAGATACAGGAACAAATGGCTACATGCACAGACCAGACTCTGGAGCCTGATGGACTGCATTCCAGCCCTGGATTTGCTACCTACCGGCTGTGTGACCTTGGGCAAGTTACCTAACCTCTCTGGGTCTCACTCTCATTTGCAAAATGGGGATACAATCATTTGTTGTTGTTTCAATTAAGTGGGCAAGGGAATGTCTGCATAGCACTCAGTATCTGACATAAAGTGACTGCCATTATAACTATTGTCATTGTTGACATTACTTGATGTGCTGCTGACTACTGATGGAGACAGTGGCCATTGGTGAAATACACATGCCATCAATTTAAAATCAGAAGGGAGTTCATATATGCTGATGACTTCCTCTGTGAGGTGGGGGAGGAGGTTCTGCTGGCTGCAAGATGCCCAGCGAGTACTCAGCTCTCAGAAGCCCCTGGGACTCAGGGGCACCCTCGTCCTGTCTACTGGACAGGCAAGGGACCCCTCTCCACAAAACATCCTCAGAGGGGCCTCCAAAGCTGACCTCGGCACTCCGTGGCTGCATCCCTGGGCTGAGAGCAGCTGTTCTGGGATGGAGAGCACTCACTGACTCACAGGCTTGGCTTCTCCCGCTAGTGAATGATTCAACCTCTGAAGCTCCAGCTCACCCAGGCCCACCCCCACCTCCCTGGGTCTGGAATGGAGAAGGGACTTGGCCAAGGTCACAAAGACCATCAGGCATGGAGCTGCTGTCGCTGAAGCCCCAGGCAGCCACACGAGCCCCCTCCGGCCCCTTCCTTGCCTCTCGGGGGGCCGATTGCGGCATCTCTTCTGCCTGGTGTCACGGCTGTCCCCTGGTATGCTCTTAGCCTTGGGGACTTCCTTCCTCAAAGGATCGGCTCTCCTTCTGGCTCTGCGCAAAGCCCCCTCCCACGCCTGCCCCACTTCCATCTGCCTGTTACCCCCTGCTGTGTGAGAGCATGCTTGCCCCTGCGCTCAAACCACCTGGCCTTGCTGGGCACGGCCCAGGTGGAGCTGATGGAGACTGGCTGTGTCCTTGGCCTTTCCCCACCTTGGGGCCAGCAGCAGGGACAATCAATGGCCCGGGACCACAACTGCCCAGCACTTTCTGATGGCACAGACTCGAGGGCCTGACCTCACCCTGGGACCCTCTACTGAGTCTCAGCTGAGTCCTGAAGGGGCCTGGGCACCCCCAGCCCTCTCCTCAGCTTCCTAGCTCCTCTCTCGCGAGCCACATGGCTTTGGTTTCCTCATCTGTGAAAAGCGTGTGTATGGGGGATGAAAACAGCCGTTTACTCGTGTGGTTGATATGAGACTCAGATGGAGCTCAGGAAGTGGGGCTGGCCTTTGATTATGAAGATAACCTCTCCCCCCACCACCAGGACTATAGGAACGCCCCCAGCCATCTACTCATGAAGGAAGGAGCCTCAATTCAGGGCCGAGTCCCTTCTCCTCTTTGGGGCCTCAATGATCCCATCTGAAAAATGGGGACAAAAATCCAGGCCTTGCCTCTCCTGTTCAGTGAGTCTGCAGATTCAGTGAGGTCAAGGTCATGAATATGTCATGAAGAAACCAGGTGCCCACTCTGTGCCAGGCCTGTGCTGGGCACTCGAGCAGCCTGTGCAAGTCAAGAGCCAGTCCCTGCCTTAACATAGTCACTGACTAGTGAGGGGTGATGGCAGGGCTGAGGGTACAGAGCCTAGTGGGCAAAGGAGGGGAGGAGGTGCCCAGGTCAGCCAGGGGAAGTCGGCTAACTTGTAGGGTGCCAGCAGAATTCAGGATGGGGGCCAGCTGGGGACAGGCTGGACTTGACCCGTTGGCAGACGGGGACTCCCTTGAGGTCGGAGGCCCTGGAGCTTCGTCTTTGAAAGTTATATGGCCGCACCAGGAAATAGCAAGCATCTAGTTGAGGAATTCTGGTCCCTTCCCTGCCTCTTGAGTGAGCAAAGGAGCCTTTCCACAGTCTCTCCCAAACCCTCAAGGAGCCCTCACCCTGGAGGGCTCTCCAAGACTCCCTCCAGCCCTGACCTGCCCTACCTCCCACCCCTTCTCAGCCAGCTGGCTGAGCCACTAACTCCCAGAAGGGCCAGCAGAGGGAAGGAGACCAGGTCCCAGAGAGAGCAGCCCATCATCTCAGGGTCTGGGAGATGCGGCACCTGCGATTCCAAATTCCAGAATCTTAAAGCCAAAGCTTTCACCCGTGAGAAAACGGAGGTGGCCACAGTAAAAGCTGGCTGGCCAAGGTCACAGAGGCTAGGAGGGGGAGACAGCTATTCCTGGAGGGATGGAGAAGTTACCTAAGTGCGCTCAGGGCGGCTCCTCATGGGCACTGCCCATGACCGCGGCGGGGTCTCCTGGGCAGCCGCGTGGGCGTGTGGGGGACGGTGTGGGAACGCGAGAGGGGGAGGATGATACAGTGGGAGGGTGCGGGGGGAGGGGGTGCTCGAGGCTCCGGGAAGGTGCGTGCGCACCCGCGGGCTCCTGGCCCAGATCCCGAGCCCCTGGCTGTGCCCACCCTGAGCCCCGGCCCGCAGCCCCCAACGGCCTTGTTCTCCAGACACGGATGCGCCTGCGCGCGCGATGCGGGGCGCAGGGCGCAGGGTGCAGGATGCCGGGCGCTGCCTGCCGGCCTGGGGCCCCCGGGTGACGCGCGGCCGCGGTGCCGCAAGGACACGCAGGCCTGGCGCGGGGCGCAGGTGCCTCGGGCAGGGACCCGCGTCCCCCCACCTGCCGCCGCGCCACCTGCTGGGCCACCCTCCGGTCCCCGCCTGCGCCTATGCCCGCGCCGCGCCCGCGCCCACCCCAGTGGCGCCCGCGCGCCCCGAGCACCACTTACCCCGGCATGGGCACGGCCGCCGCTGCGGCCTCTGCTCCTGCGGGCGCTGTCGCTGCGGGCAAGCGCCCGGCGGGCAACGATCCGCTCCAAGGACGGAAAGGCCCGGGTACGGGGCGGCCTGGCCGGCTGCGCGGCACGCAACCCTCCGCGGCGGGCGAGGGCTGCGGCGGAGTGCTCCCCAAGCTCTGCACTAGCGGCGGGCGACGCGGCGCGCTCGACTCCAGCCGCAGCTCTGAGCACGGAGGGAGGGAGGGGGGTGGGGGAGGGAGCCGGGGGAGGAGGAGGGAGGGAGGAGGGAGCGGGCGCGGGGGGCGGTGCACGGCGCAGGGGCCTCGGGGCTCCCGAGCCACGCGCCCGGTGTCCGCCCTTCTGTCCCCAGGACGCGCGGGGATGCCCGCCCTTTCTGGCCTGGCATTTCCCCCAAAGGGCACTGGCCAAGTTGGGGGTGGGTGGGGCTGAAAACTGGGGAATCGTGGCACCTGTGACTGCAGAGAGAGCACCCCGAGTGAGCTTGCCACTGGGGCAAAAGGCTGGCGCTACCTCTCCAGACCACTGCCCTCTAGGTGCGTCTCCCCAACAGGAAAATGGGACGTGGAACCGGATGGTTAATGGGTAGTGTGGGGTCCTTGGGCCTTGCCGCAGTGGGCTCCAAGCCACTGGTGAGCTCCTGCAGCCTCCACTACCTGTGGAGAGTTCCGGCATCCAATTTCGTCTTCCCAGAGGAAGCTGTGTTTACCAGAGATCCTCACCACGGGTGATGGCAAAAGATTATCACGGGAGCACCGTTAGGCAGGACACAGACCGCACACAGGTGGGCACCAGAGCCAGACACGCAGGTGCACAAGCATCTCCGCTATGAGTGGAAACAGACACACAGACAAACCCCAGGGCAGACACCTGGCCACGCCCACAAGCACGAGTTCCCACCTACCTGGACAGAGACCCCAGTGCCTGCCTCGGACTCCCAGGCTTCCTAGTTCCAGGGCCAGTGGAGGCCTCTGACCCCAGGGTGGCCTTTGCCAGCATTCTGAGCAGAGAGCAGAGGCGGGGCTGGGGCACAGGTAGGGGATCAGGGCGGGAGCCTGGGGCAGGTGCAGGAGGCCTGGACACAGCCTCGAATTCTTTCTTGCCTTGGACAAATAGGGCCCCGGGCATCCTGTGGGCCAGACCAGAGCTGAGCACTGGGAACACAGCGGGGACCACAAAACAGGGAGTGGCCAGTAGATGGCAAATGCACCCGCACCTCTGGGGGCAGGGCCATGGGACCCCATTGATGGGGAGCCACGAAAGAGGGTGCTGGTGGCTCAGGAAAGGTCTCTTTGAGGAGTTACCACTGTGCTAGAGACCAAAAGGACACGAAGGTTCTGCTGCCCCTGCAACCACGGAACTGTCATAACCCCCACAGACTGCCCCTCCCTTCCCCAGGAAGTAGCTGGTTCAGTGGAAAGCCAGTGATATCTGCCATCCCAGAGCCAGGCCCAAGGCCCTGGCACCTCTCAGTGTGGGCTGACGTTCACACACACACATGCACGTACCTGCTCACATGTGCACTCATACAGCCTTACACCCGCTCACAGGCACACCCACACTCTCCCCGGCTCCCATGCACACACACATACTCACACCTGCTCATATGCATGAACTCATGTGCACTCGCATGCTTTCACAAACACACACACTCACAAACACACTCTCACAATCTCTCCCACACATGCATCCTCACGCTGAGATGTGCTCACACACCGTCACCCACACATGCTCAGTGGCCCACACAGTTACATAGGGATTCGTGCATAGCTGCATGCTCTCACAGCTACACAACTCACACAGTCACCCAGTGAGCACACACAAGGGCACACACATACACACACACTCACAGTTACAGTCACAAACACACCCTCCCCACTCAGTTTGCACACACAGTGACACACACATTCGTTCACACACTCACACAGTCCCCTTCCACTCCAACTCTGGCGAAGCTTTTCTTGGGTGTTGGCTCCTGCAACCCTAGAGCCTGGGGCATGTGCGGGGGGTCAGGTAGGCTGCTTCTCAGGGCCCAGAGGCACCGTCAGGACACCCCCGGCCCCTTCCCCCACACACAGGCTGTGACTTCTCATGGCCCCAGGTGGGAAAAATCAGGACCGAAGCAAGCCCCAGTCATGCTGGAAACTTGTCATGAGGTGCGTTCTGGCCCTTGCATGGGAGCCCTGTCATGCTGGAGGAGCAGCTCGTCTTACCCAACATTCCAGATGGGGGAGGGGAGGCCCAGAGGGCACCAGATCCCACCCAGGACAGGTTGGAAGCTGGACTTTGGCCCCTGGCACCACAGGAGGGCAGAGGAGCTGTGAGCACCGGAGTGTCTCCCAGGGGCCCGTGGCCTCCTTTCTCCCGAGCATTCAGCTTGTGTCCCTTCTTGACTTCCCACATGGTGGCAGGCCCCCTGGGGTCATGTCCTTCCACCCCAGGCCCCAGGGCCCTGCTCCAGTGAGCAAAGGCAGAGGCAGCCTGCTGAGCCGGCCTCCTTTGGCCCCAGCAGGAGCATCCCTTGGGCAAGGGGTGGGTCCTGGCTGAAGGCACACACCTCTTAATGGACATGTGTGGGCAGCTCTGGAAGCCAGGGTGTGGGGCTGGGGAGACCCGCACTTAAAGGCTTAGGAGTGGCTGTGAGAGCTGACAAGAAGAGAGGACTCCCTTTGGGCTGCGCCACTGGTCACCGTCTTCTCTCTGGGACCAGGGAACATACTGAGCACCCCTGGAGGATGGAGGTTGTTCATTTAACTGATGGCTGCTATCCACATGGGGGCATCTCCCCCTCTGTGCTCTCTGACCTGGCACTCAGCACACGCCCTCTCTGGCCAGGGGGAGGAAGCAAGTTCCTGGGAGAAATTCTAAGGCGGGGTTACCTGCCCCACCACTTTGCATCTTCTCCTGGGCCCCCAGGACGCTGCTCATGGCTGATCCAGCCAAGAACTGGCTGTGGTGCCTACCTTTGTCATGGACAAAGTGTCATGGAAGTCCCCAGTCTTCGCAAATTGTGGTCCCTAAACAGCCAATGGACAGGTGACGGGGTGGTCCTTTCTCTGTGGTTTGCATCTGTTGGTTCCCCGTACAGAGCCCCGGGGCTGGGAGGGAGGTCCCAGGCCTGGGAATGAGGATACCTGAGTGCCAGCCAAAGGCTGCCAGTGTCACTGGTGATCCTTGCTCACTGGCCAGCCCCTCTTGGATCCTCCATCAGTAAAAAGGTGGGAGCTTTGCTGCAAAGTTCTCCCATACACCAAGTCCTGTCCTCTGCACTGGAGGTACCTAGGGAGCCAGCCTCGGGGATGCCCAGAACACTCTGCCTTCCAGCCCTCGGGTCCCAAGCCAACCTGCCCCGCAAGCCCTGGGCGGGGCTCCTTAGGGCACTCCAGGCCTTGGTCCCCACTCCAATCTCCCACATCGCCAACGACTACCTGGCAATACAGACAGCTCAAAGGCTCTCTCAGCCCAAGATACAAAAGCCACTGGGAGCTCCCTGTGCCCAGCCATTGCCCGTCGTCCCGCCCGACAGCCTCACCCCCAATCTCACCCACCCCTCTCCTCTCTCAGCACCTGCCTCCAGCCCCTTCAGCAACCGCTCTCCTCCCACAACTTCTTTCTCTCCCAGCTCCTTGACCCCTGTCTGGTCACCAGGCCCTTCCTCTCCTGGGGCTCTGGGCCATGCCCCCTCCTTGCCCAGGTCCCTCCTGCCACTGTTGGGACAGCAACTCCTTTGCCAGCCCTGAAGTGAGGACCCCTTTGGCTGGGCCTGGGCCCTCCACCCCCGGCCTTCTCATGCCCACTCTTGCCCTGGCTGAGGTCCCAGCCCCTACCCCAAGGCCTCGGGGGCCAAGTCCACGTCCACTTGCAGCCCAGTGGCAGGCTAAAAATGCCCCCACAGAGGTGTCCGTGTCCCAACCCCTGGAACCAGAATGCAGCCTTATTTGAAAATAGGGTGTTTGGAGAGGTGATCAAGTGAAGGACCTTGAGATGGGGGATTACCCTGCAGGCGACGACAAGTGTCCTTTCACACACACGCACACACACACATAGAAACACACACACATATGCACCCACCCCCCCACATACACACACATATGTACACACACACATGCACACACTGCACACGTACACCAACAGAAACACATACACACATTGCACACACACACATACATGCACCCCCCCCACAGATACAGTCACACACAGTCATACACACACACAAACATGCTCACACATACACATGCACACACACATGCTGACCCCCACATAGTCACACACACACACGCTCACACATACACTCACAGAAACACACACATATACATTGGACACATACACACACACATGCACCCCCACACACACGAAGCCGTGTGATTGCAGAGGCAGAGTGGAGTGAGGCGGCCACAAGCCCAGGATGCCTGGAGCCTGCCGGAGCTGGGAGAGGCAGGAAGGAGCCTTCCCTAGAGCCTCTGAGCCTCTGGGGGAGTGTGGCTCTGAGACACCTGGATTTTGCACTTCCGGCCTCCAGGACTGGGAGAGGATGCACTGCCTCTGTGGTGAGCCACCCGGTTTGTGGTTATCCATGACAGCTGGGCCACCGAGGAGCTCTGGCCCGGCAGAGCCCTGCCCACGACACACCTCAGGCCTCTTGCGCTGCTTGGCTTCAGTACATCCACTCCTGGTGGTTCTGGAAGGCTCTGGCTGGTGATGCAGTGTGTGCGTGTGTGTGTGTGTGTTGTGTGTTGTGTGTGTTCTCTGTGTGTTGTTTGTGCTGTGTGTTGTGTGTTGTGTGTGTTCTGTGTTGTATGTGTTCTGTATATGTGTGTTGTGTGTGATGTGTTGTGCTGTGTGTTATGTGTGTGTGGTGTGTTGTGTGTGTTGTGCGTGGTGAGGTGTGTGTTGTGGTGTGTGTGTGTAGTGTGTGTGTTGTGTGCGTGGTGTGTTGTGTGTGGTGTGTTGTGTGTGTGTTGTGTGCGTGGTATGTTGTGTGTGGTGTGTTGTGTGTTTTGTGTGTGTGTGGTGTGCTGTGTGTTGTATGTGTGTTGTGTGTGTTGTGCTGTGTGTGCGTGTTGTGTGTTGTTTGTGTGTGGTGCATGTGTGTTGTGTGTATTGTGTTGTATGTGTGTCTTGTGTGTTGTGTTCGTGTATGAGATAGTTCTTTGAGCATAACTCCTGCCAGTGCAGCTCCAGTTTCAGGGTCCCAGAGAGGCTGTGCCTTCTCAGAAGCTGAGGGAGACAAGGGCTCTCTGCTGGCAATGGTGTCCTGCCCTGGCTGTCCAGAGTGGCAGGCAGAGGTTTGGCCTCTTCCTGTGGTCATGGCCTCTTCAGACTAGAGCTGGAGCCCACGGGAGCAGAGTCTGAAGACCAGGTCCCTCTGCCTTGGCTCCCAGGCTGGCCACCTGCCCTTGCAGCCCCCCAAGGAGGGGGCGTGTCCCTCAGGGGCCCTGCCCGCATCGTGGGCCCAGCCTGCCAAGGTCTGGCCTGCTGCCCCTTTGACAAGCCTAGACTCGTCTAAACCCTAGCAGTGGATTCGGCTTAGGCTCCCACTGGGCCCTGCTGCGCCCAGAAGGCACCTGATTTACAGCAAGTGCTGAGAAGCGGCCCCGCCCTGGCCCTACATCTTCCAAGGCCGCTCCCCAAGGGAGCAGCTCTGCGACTTTCATTGCTGTGCATGTTTGTGTGCACATGTGTTTGTGCTTGCATATGTTTCTGTGTTTCTGTGTGATTGTGTCTGTGTGTTCGAGTGTGCATGTGCGTGTTTGTGTACGCATTTGTGTGCATGTGCACATGTGTGTTTGTGTGTGTGCATATGTGTGTAGGCCTATGCCTGCTGCCTTCCAACAGCTCTGGGATGCTTTGGGCCCTTGGGTGGTGGTCCTCAGGACCCGCTTCCCCTCTCCAGGCTGTGCCCCACTGGGACCTCAGGCCACAGAGCATGACAACCAATCCTGTTCTCACAGTACACTCAATCTGTCCCTAAGTTGAGGGGTTCGTACTCAAGCAAAGATCGGCTGGAACTTGTCCTCTGCTCCCGTCTTTACAGAGCACCCATCGGCCTTCCTATGCCACAGCCAGGGCCCTGCTCTCCAAGCCACTTGCAAGTGAATGTGGGGGGCTGGCAGCTTGCAGGGAGAAACTTCTGGGCACAAGTGATCCTCCCACCTCAGCCTCCTGAGTAGCTGGGACCACCGGCATGTGTCAAGATGCCTAGCTAGTTTTATAGTCTTTTTTTTCCTACAGATAGGGTCTCCCCATGGTGCCCAGGCTGCTCTTGGACTCCTGGCCTCCCAAAGTGCTGGGATGGGGATGACAGCTGTGAGCCACCATGTCTGGACGTTTTCTTTTTTAAGCCCCAATCAGTCTCACCTTGGCCAGTATTATCTGATAGCTTTCACCAACGTTGACGGTAGTGAGGCTGTGTGATTCATCTTTGAGGATGGAGTTTGCCTTCCACCATGATCTGGAAGCCCTTGCAGGCTGTGACGCTGTCCAACTCTGGTCAAGGCAGAGGGTGTGCTGCCTGCAGGGCGCCCCCTACCGTGCAGGCTGAGCATGCAGCCCACCGGACGCCTTCCTCTGCTCTGACCATCCAGATCACACATGTCCCATTGGCACCTCCAACCACACTGCATCCCTTTGCTGGGACATGCAGAGGACGGGTGTGATGAAGGCGCAGGGAATGAGAGGGAGACAGAGAGGAACGGAGGCGCAAGGCTGAGAGGGAGGCAGGAAGAGTGGACAGAGATTCGGGGGGCTGCATTGGACCCACTGAACACAGAGCCAGTGACCCGAGACCCATTCAGATGAATGGGCAGAAGCCCCGTCTTTCTACCTCTGCCAGGCCCTGGTGCTGGCTGCCCCTCCTTTCAGCCAGCGAGGGGACTTGCCCAAAGCCTTGACTCCTGGCTCCTGGCCAGTTCCCTTGCACTGCGCCTGCCCAGCTCAGCAGACGTTGCCAGGCCATGGAGCACATGGCCCAGAATAGTGCTATGATGCTGCTGGTGACATTCGATCACTGGGCCACCACACTTCGTGGCGCCTCCTGTCCCAAAAAGGAGAAACCTGGAGACACCAGTGCCCCAGTGCCAGCCCAGGCGTAAAGGCACAGTTATGTGTGAGGAGCCAGGGAAGCCCCAGGTCCTGCCAGTTGCTCTGAGGCCCTTCGTGCAGGGCTGAGGGAAAGGCACAGGTGGTAGCTTGCTCTGGGTACTGTCCCCCTCTAAGCTGCCCTTTCCAGGACCACCTATGCTTCCAGCACGCAGGCTTGGCTCCCCTGGCACATGGTGTGACCTGCTGGGGTCTGGCTTGGGAGCCAAGGCCAGGCCAGTGCAAGTGGGCGCCCTCAGCACCCGTCCCTGGCTTCATGGGGCACCTCCTTCTTGTCTCACCCTCGGGTGTTGGTGTTGCCTCGCTGTGAGCCCCAGACTCCATGGAGTTGGGCAGGCAGGGCCGCGCTTAGATTGCCAGGCTCTAGCCTGGTGCCGGGCAGTTGGCGTGCTCTTGGCAAAGGCTCCACACTGAGAAGGCAGGTGCCATTCAGGCCTGGTTGGATTCTGGAGCCCCATCTTAGGACAGCTGGGGCCATAGATGTGTCTAGAAGGGAGGGGAAACTGACTAACCCCATCACCTAGGGCCTCCTTGTCTAGCCCAGACCTGAGGGTGATGGGGAACCTCTTTTGAGGGCGAGTAACCCAAGGGCTGGAAGGGGCATGGAGAGGCCAGGCCGCCGCAGGAGCAGCGCATGGAGCCATATTGTGCAGTGTTTCTTTAATGGAAAGACAGCCACCGACCTCAGAAGCAGCCCCTCCTCATGCTGGAACAGAGGGCAAGGGGAGACCTGGCCATGGGGGGCGGGGGTTCCATGAAAACTGGTGTCTGGGACTCTGGCAGGATGTGGGGCCTCTCCTCTCTTGGGGGCAGAAGGGCCAGGACCTGACATGTCTAGGGCTCCCTGCTTGATGGTGTCATCTGCACGGAGTGTCAGGCCTCCACCTCCCAGCCTCCTCCAGGACTATACAGCTTTGGGGACAAGGCCTGGGCAGGGCAGACTGGGGAGGCCGCTGTCCCCGAGCTTTTGTGGGCCGGGGCTAGATGCAGGCTGGTGAGACAGAAAGCAGACCCAGCTCAAGGCAGAAGGTCAGAGCGTGCAGAGTGAGAGGGACAGGCGAAGCCAGGTCCAGAGAGATGGAGAGGACAGGCCACCAAGCTCAGAAGCAAGAAAGGTCTGAGGAAGCACAAGACACATAGAGGGAGAGGGACAGGGAGAGAAAGTGAGAGGACAGAAGGGGGCACTGGTCCCAGGGTCAGTGGATTGGGGGGCGCTGGGGGGGGACAGGCCACAGACTTGGAAGGGGACTGAGGGGAGCTGCGGGGTGGGAAGGGTTGAAAGGTTGGAAGCGGATGAGGAGGAGGAACAGAACGTGCGTGTCTGGCAGAGCCCACTGTCCCCATTCCTATGGACCCCCTCCCTTCTGCCGACCTGGGGACCGTTCTCCTAGGACTGGAGCCTTGGATACTTGGGTTTGGGAGTGGATGAGAAGGAAGCTTCATGGGGGGTCTCTGGGGGGGCTGGGGGGGAGAGCAAGGGCACCTCTGAGGCCAAGGAGGTGTGTGATGGGGGCCAGGCCTTGCGCCCACCTGCACTGTTGGGAGCCAGGGAGAGGCCGTGATGGGGCAGTGAGCTGGGGTCAGGGACCCAATGTAGGGGGCTGGGATGGATGCAGCTGGATCCGGGCTTGGCTTCCTGGCTCTGCCTCCCCATCAGGACGTCAGGCTGTGTTCCCCAGAGACCCCCACAGTCCCCGTGGTGGCTGCAGCTGCCTCTACTTTTTGTAGTTGCCAAACTGGATGGCAAGGCGGTCAGTGACGCAGCGGAAAGTGGCCGGCTGCACCTCCCAGTAGGGCACAGGATTGTTGAAGAGGCTGATGCCGTTGTAGTAGGCCCGCTTCACCCCGAAGCCCATGGGACAGAAGTCGTTGACGCCCACCTTGGTGATGTTGTTGGAGTGCAGATAGACCACCTGCAGGCAGAGGGGCCAGGTCACCGTGGGCCGCCCACCCTCTGCATGGAGCCTGCTGCCTCCAAGAGGAATCTCGCTGTGACCTCTGCTCCCTGATTCGAGGGCCACACAGGAGACTCCCTGGTGTTGGGAGGAGCAAATCAAGGCATGGGTGCGTTCGTTGTGTGGGTGTCAGGCAGGATTCAGGCACTGGGTGGAGCAGGTAGAGGACACGGGATGGGCTGGGATGGGGCTGTGTGGTGGTGCAAGGTGCAGGAAAGTTGGCCTGACCCTCGGGGGAGCATCCTTACACTCCATGGGGCATGAGGGTAGAAAAAGCCCTTGGGGTGCCCTCCTCTTTCTTTTCATCCTCAGGGAAACTCGACCTGTAGCAGCCCCTGCAGCTCTCTGAGCCACTGTCTTGCCGTCTCAGGAAGGAGCAGAGGCGGGCAGACAGGCAAATCGCTTGCTGGGTTGGGCTGGGAACCCAGTGACATGACAATGGCCACTAGAGGGCACACTCGACCCAGCACAGCTGGTGCGGATTGGGGTGCTCCAAACACGTGTGGACGGAGCAGGGCTGGGCAAGACCAAGATCGCCCATCTGGGCTGGGGGCCAGACCATGGATGGAAGATCCCGATGGAGCCCCAGGCAAGACCCTGCTCCCCCTCTTCAGCCCACTTCCTGCCCTGGGCCGTCGCGTCTTGGCACGGATCCGTGCAGCCCCAGGCCCACAGTTTCTTGACTCCCGGGACCCTGCCACATCTTTCTGGTGTCTGACCCACCTGGGGACCCTCAGGTGCAACACCTACCAGGCTGCCTTGCTTGGTATCCACCATGGAGGCCCTGCTCCCTGCCTCCTCAGCACTGGCTGTGAGCATCAGGGCCACTCCCTTGCAGATTTGCAGAAGCAGCCAGGAAGGTGCACCAGGGGGCCGAGGGACAGCACAGGGACACGCACGCCTCCCCGAGCGCAGCCTTAGGAAGCTTGCGGTGCACGCCCAGCTCTCACCTGCAGCAACTTGAGGTCCGGGAGCCCTGAGGGCACTCTGGACAGCTTGTTGTTGTCCAAGTGCAGCTCCCGGAGGGTGGGGAGGAAGCTCAGGCTGCCGTTCTCAATCATCCGGATCTGGTTGTGGCCCAGGCCCAGCCTGCGAGCAGAAGAATGACACAGACTCAGAGGCTGGAGAGCAGAACAGTGGGCTGGGTGTCAGGGCTGCAGAGCCCGGAGGTATTCTCGTGCCACCCTCAGGCGGTGCCCTGCTGGCCTCACCGGTACAACTTGGAGTAGCGGAGGAGGTCCTCCAGCTCGATGGCCTGGATTTTGTTGTGGTCCAGGTGGAGTTCGTTCAGGGTCTCCGGGAGGTCTGCCAGGAGAAGAGGGCACGGGGCTGAATGCAGATGCTGAGGGCAGGGTCCCTTGCTCTGCCCCAGGTGGTGGGAGGGGACTGCTGAGTCTTTCCCTGAGTATACCGGGCCAGACCAGAGTCCCCACCCTGGCCATCTGTGCCCTGGGGGGTGAGGCACGCAGGTGCGCAGCAAGGGTGGCCTTCCTACCTTTGGGGATGCCGGTCAGCTTGGCTTCTGAGATGCGCAGGTAGTTGAGCTTCAGGCCGTCAAAGGCTCCAGGTTCAAAGCCACTGTTCTCCAGTGGGTTCCCCCCCATCTCTAAGAGAGGGACCTCATCAGTCCAGGAGGCTGGCGGTCCACACACAGCCCCAGGGTCCTGTCATTTCCGGGCTCCTGTGATGGGCCCTCCTGACTGCCGGCTGCTCCCACCTCCCGAAAGCAGCTCCGTTCATTTACTGGGCTAATTACAAACTCCCAGCTGTCCAGGACTGCTGGCTCCATGGGGAGCAAGACGAAAGGGAGGAATGCCAGAGACGAAGCCGGGGCTCCCCGAAGCCACCCGGGCCCTCTGGCCCCACATTCCCTTTAGCCACGGTGACCTCCTGCCTGGAGGATTTGCTAAGAAATCCGTGGATATTCTTTTCACTGTTCTCAGCAGACTCTTCCTTGAACTGGGCTTCTAAAGCTGTTGCTTGGTCTCCCTTCCCCAGGCCCCAAGACAAGACTCTGGAATGTTCTGGGAGGCTCCTGGGCACCCCCATGGCAGGGCTGCACTCACCGATGCAGTTCATGTTCCGGAGCCCGCTGAACACGCCCTTGGGGACCTTGCGGATGCGGTTGTCGTGGATGCGGAGCTCCACCAGCGAGCTGGGCAGGTTGGGTGGGATCTCCACCAGGTGGTTCTTGGAGATGTACAGCTTCTGCAGCCTCCGCAGTGGGCTGAAGGCCTTCTCATGGATCTTGGAGATCTTGTTGTTCACCAGGACGAGAGCCTGAAGCAGGGAGGGCGGAGGAGGTGGAGGTGCTGACTCCCCGGCCCACCGCCCCATCTCCTGCGGGCCTGTGCCTCTCGAGTCTGGGCCTCGAGGAGGTCAGTCCCTGCTGGTGAGCAGAGTGCAGAGCAGGAGGCAGCACCAGCCCGGCCCTGAGCCCCGGCAGGGCCGCCACTGCCTTGCGTTCTCTCACGCTCACTGGCTACCATGGTGCTGGGAGGAACGAATGTGATGAAACGTTTTTAGCAGCGAAGGGAGCCGAGCTGACTGAGACAGTCCTACAGCTGTGGTCGCTCAAACCCATGCCAGTGAGCCGGAAGCCCAGAGCTCCCATCACGGCTGGCTCCAGGCTTCACCCTGAAGCCCACGGGTCCCTGAGCCCCTCTCATGCCCCACACGTCCACGCACGCGCACCCTTCCGGACCCCTGCCCCCCACTGTGGGCCTGCTTCTTCCTCCGGGCTCCTCTAGTGGGGTGCTTACGTAGAGGTGCTGGAGACCCTTGAAGTCATCCTTCCGGAGCTCAGAGATGTGGTTGCTCTGCAAGTCCAGCAGCGTGGTGTCAGGTGAGACCTCTTTGGGCACAGACTTCAGACCTAGGGAACCCACCACCATCACCAGCATGAACTTGGGGTCATCCAGCCCATTAGTCCCACTGGTAGGGAGGACAGGGGACACACACACAGAGCACCAACATATACACGGGGATGCCACCACAAATGGGCATAAGTTGCACAGCTCACAGCCAGATGGCTGGAGCCCTCCCACACACCATGCTCCCCCATCGCACAGGACCAGCATGTGCCCCCTCAGAAGCGGCTCTCAGGCACACCCCACTCCCCATCACCCAGGGACAAACCCAGGTCGGAGCACTGAACCACCCGCAGGTGGCAGTGGCAGCCGAAAGGGCACATGGCGCTGTAGGTGGGTGTGACGGAGTCTGGGTCCGGGAGGCCTGAGGTCGAGTCGGCGCCTGAAGCTTCCTCATCATTCATCATGAGTGGCCCATCATCCAGGGTAAAGTCCCAGAAGCCCCTCTGCTCAAAGGGCAGGGCCTGGCTCAGGGCCAGCAGAGACACGAGGAGCCACAGAGGCTGCATGGTGGATGGGCCTGGGGGAAGAGGCAGGGCGATCCTCAGTGCCAGCACCCGCTCATCTTCCCCACAGCAGACCCTGGGGCGGGAGGCAGAGAGGTCAGAGTGTGGGCAGAGGGCTCCAGGCAGGAAGGGGGCACGTGCTGCTGGCCAGGATGGCGCCCCTTCCACTCCACTTCCCCCTCCCTATCCATGACAGGACTTGGCTTCATGGGGTGATGAAATGTCTCCCCATTAGCAAGTCTGCCAGCAGCCTGTTTCGGGGCGGGGGCATCCGTGAGGCTATGTGGAGGAGGTGAGGGGGAATCCTAGCCATTGGCCCCCACAGGCTTTGAATAATTCACTTTTGGGGACACCACTGTAGCCTCCTGCCTGGGCCAATCCTTCCTTTGAGTTCTGGGCTCAGGGCAGCGTGGATGAAGTTAGTTGAATTTGGCAACTGTGAGTTGCTTCTCACCTCCTGAGCTCCCTTCCACCCTGCCCACCTTTCTCAGAGCACCTCTAAGGCCAAGGCAGGGAGGCAGGCTGGAGACAGAGGGGACGTCCTTTGAGGCCACAGGGAAAGTTGGCTGAGGCAGCGCTGAGTGGAGGCCGCAGAGGTGGAGGGCATGGCGCCCCCCCGACACTGCCCTGGGCCTGGCTTCCTCCTCTGGACCCCGCCCCAGTGCTCCCACACACTGCCTTGGCCCAAACAGCCCTGGGGCTCCCAGATCTGCTCCCACTCTTCCTCCCTGCCCACAGCCTAACCCAGAGAGCCCCCCCCAGGGGAGCAGGCCGCCGCCAGGGTGGCAGGGCAGGATCAGGCTTGCCTGAGGCCCCCCAGGCTGAGGTGGCGGCTGGGAGTAGAGGGGAAGCGGCCCAGCCCCCAGCACCCACCTCTGCTTGCCTCCTTCCCCTCATCAGACACAGTTCCCCATCCAGAGGCAGCTGGGAAGACGCCCTACCGGAAGAGGCTGGAGGCCTGGCTCTCCTACCGCTCCATCTACCCTGACTCCCTGGCAAAGGCCCAGGTCTCCCCCTAGCCATCTGTTAAGTGGGAATAAACATGCCTGCCCTGCTCGCCTCCCAGCTGGACTGCCTGGGGTGGCCCTGGGTGCATCTGGAGATGGGGAGCCCACCTGGGCAGCAGGAGCCTCTGGCAGACCTGAAGCAGTCGCACCCCCAGGAGACCCTCACTTAGGACCAGTCCTGGCTGGGGCTCCGGCAGGGCGAAGTGAGCCCCCTGAGCCCAGCTGCTGATTGCAGGGCTTTACGGAGGCTGTGGGGAGGTGGGGACTCTGCCGCCTAGGCCAGACCCTCTGAGCAGCCCTGCTCTGCCCAATGCCTCCCCAGCAGGCCCAGTTGACCTGGGGGCTGGGCTGGCTGCCAGGGGCTGCTGCTTTGGGGTCCTAGCAACCAGTGGACTGGGGGCCTGAGGCCACCTCAGGGCCAAGTTGGGTCTCAGCACAGCGCTGTGCCTCCGGTTCCATCAATCCCAGGAGTGGGTTGGGAAGGAGGCCCGTACTGTGCCCCGAGCAGCTTCTCCCAGATGCTCCAGGGAGCCTCTGCTGGTACACGTGCCCCCTGCATTGGCATTCCCCCGAGGGGCTGCCCATGCCCCCTCCTACACTTGTGGACAGAGGGACCTCTGGTGAGGCCAGTGGAGTGGCTTTCCCGCAGCCAGCCCCAGAGCCCTCCTGAGCCCATAGCTCCGGGCCACACTGCAAAGTGGGAGTTGGAGCCCAAGGCTTCACTCAGCTTCCCCTTCACGTGGAGCTGGACTTTGTGCTGACCCCTGGGGTTACCAGGAAGCCCCTGCTGGGTGCAGCCTCCCTCATTCCTTTGAGCCTTGAGACCCCACTACTGTAGCCGCAGGCCAGCCCAGCAGGACCTACGGGAGCCCCCCGGAGGGTCTTGGGCCCAAGTAGGGAGAAGACGCAGCCCTCGCCTACCTGGATGGCGTTTCCCTTCCTCCCGGGCAAGGCAGGGCACGACCTCTGGTGCCCGCTGCCACTGCGGGGCCCTCACCCAGTGCCGCTGGACACCCGGGGGCAGGAGGAGGAGGAGGACAAGCAGTGGGAGAAAACGGGAAGGGCAGGAGGGAGGCAGGAGAGTAAGACGGAGAGGGGAGGGAGAAGATTGCCCCACCCCTCCCTGCCTGATGCCCCTGCCAAAGCCAGTACCTCCCAGGAGGAGTAAGTCAGGGCTGGAACGCCCCGCCGGAGCCCTGGAAAGCTCCAGCATGGGCAGTCCACCTGGGCAGGTGGGGTTGGGGTGGCCCGACTGGGCCTAGGGGAGGCTGTGGGAAGGGCTGGGGAAGGCTGAGGGGACAGAGGGCTGTGTAACCATGGCTAGCCTAGAGCCCCGCAGGACCCATGCACTGGCCTGGCGGAGGACTCCCTGGGAGCTGGGGCTTCCCTGTTATGCACTCCTGTTACGAAACTCACAGGCGCAGGGCAGGGCAGTTGTGGCAAGACTGGTCATCGGGGTCCCAGGTGGGTTCCCGGGACCAGCTATGGGGTGACAGGGACTCTGGAGGCAGCTGTCTGATATAGCAGGATGTCTGGGGGTCTCCAGGAGACTGAGCAAGGGGCGAGGGGAAGAGGTTCCCTCAGAACAGGGAGGGAGGCCGAGGGCCAGGAGGCCCATGCGCCCGGGCCCCGTGACAGAGGCAGAAGGACAAGGTTTGGCTGGTTTTCCGTGGCTCGTGGCTGTGCCCAAGCTGTGGGCAGGCTGGAGGGGTGGGGGCTGGGCAGGCTTCCCGGCACAACCCTCATTTCCCCTCAAAGAACTGGCACAAAACTGAGAGCTCTTCTGAAGAGGGGCAGGCAGAATGTCCGCGCCCACAGGAGGTGGCAAGGAGCCCGCGAAGCCGGAGGGAGCCAGGGACCCTGGGGGAAAGGCTCCCTGGAGCTGGCCGATGAGTCTCCCCATTTTATGGACACGAAAGCAGAGGCCAAGAGAGAGGCTCCAACTTCCCCAAGTCACTCAGCCTGACTTGGAACTCTGCTGTGGCGTCTCTAGGCCCTGAGCCCTCAGCTGTGCTCCTCAGCCACAGGGGCTCCAACCACACCTCTGGGCCTTCGAGAACCTGGGGTTGGGGATGACCGAGCCTGGGGGTGGCAGTTTGGGGGGTTCTGGAGATGGAGAGGCCCAGCTGTCTTCCCAAAGCCTGGCCCCTGCCTTCTCCCACCAACTCACACTGAGCCCCTCCCTCCTGCTAGAACATGCACACACACACGTAGGCACAAACACACACAGGCACACATCGACACTCATGCACACACCTATACACACACATACACACATGCACACACCTATACAAAACACATGTCCACACATCCACACACATCGACGTACATGCACACACCGACACACACAGACATGCACACACCTACACATACATGTACATCCACACTCATGCACACACCTAGACACACACATACACACATGCATACCTATGGATACACGTTCACATACACATATGTATATACATATATATACAGACACACATACATACATACAGGTACACACACACATACATACTAGTGCACACACCTATACACACATATGCACATGCACACACACATGCACACATGTACACATACACACATGTACAGACATGCACACACTTATACACACATGCATACACATTCACATATACATATACACGCATCCATACACATGTTTATACACAGGAACAGATAAGCCGGCCCAGGAAGCAGGAATACCCCATAGTCAGACCCTGTGAGACCCACAGCAAGTCCCTCTGGTCCTCACCTCTCCACCACCACCGAGGCCTCTGGGCCTCAGTTTCCCTTCATCAGCCTCCCTGGGTGTGCTCTCAGGGACTTCAGGGAGGGCTTTAAGCCACATCAGAGTGTGCCCTGAGCTCCCTGGATGCTGTCTCTCAGGAGCAAAGGACAGGAACGGCCATGGCACGAGCCCCAGGTCCGGCGACCGCAGGTGTGAGCGAGGGAGGAGGCTGGGCTTCCTGGAGCCTCTGCCACCACCCAAATAGGGCCCTCCTTGTCTGCCCCTCGGAAAGCCAGCGCAACCCTCCACACCGGATCGCTCCAGGTCACAGCCAAACAAGATGCATTGGCAGTCTCTGAGAACATGGAGGGTCCATGCCAGGCATTCAGGCCAGGCCAAGTGCGGCGGGAGCAGGACCTGAGGTCTGGCAGACGCTGGATGCTGTCTCTGCAGCCTCAGCCCTGGGCGTCTGCCCCCCTGAGCAACCCAATCTGAACTCTGACACACGTGCCACCTTCCACGCAGCCCTGCAGGGTCCCTGGTACTGCGTCTTTCCTCCCTCCCCTCTGGTCGCCAAAGCCCTTCGGGCCCAGCTTCAACCAGCACTGCCGCTCTTCCAGGACCCAGCCCACCAGTCCCTCCCTGCCGATGGTTCTAGCCTGCACTTGGGCGTCAACTAGAGAGGGGATATGTGCCCTCCATGGCCTTGGCAAAGCCCGGGTGTGTGCGTTGGTCTGTGGGAGTGGCAGCCTGAGGGGCTGGGGTCTGGAGTGGGGAGGGTGGACCCTTTGCACCCAGCCACCTGCCAAGCCGCCGCCATCGCCCCGGCACGCCCTTCAGGCAGCCACGTGTGGAGGGGCTGGGAAACCCCGGCTCATCTGCTGCCCAAATGCTTTCCAGAGCTTTTTTGGCAGGGTCGGGGCAGGGGTGGAGTTCTCCCTTGATGCACCCAGCCACCTTGCCACCTCTCTGTGCCAGCCCTTTGCAGCCTGTGGCGCCCATGTCCAGGTCCAGCCTGTCTCACAGTTGGCAGAGTGCGCTCCTGGTCCTCTACACATCACACTCCCTAAAGAGATCCTTTACTTAGCCCCTGCCATCCCCCATTAACCATAAGAAGGAAGTGATGCTCTTACGATTCGATGAAGGGGTAAACTGAGGCTCAGGGAGTTGTTCCCCAAGGTCTTGCCCAAGGCAAGAGCTTCTGGCTGTGGGCAAGGACACGGACAGACAGACAGACACGGTGAGGAAACAGCAGGTCTGGGACTGCACACACTGTCCGTGTCCTTGCCCATGTCTGGAACCCCCCCCCCCCGCCACTGCACCTGTCCCCATGGGACTGCACACACTGTCCGTGTCCTTGCCCATGTCTGGAACCCCCCCCCCCCGCCACTGCAGACAGTGCCACAGGACCCAGAGCTGACAGGTCTCACACTCTCGGGGGTGTGCAGAGTGCTTCCCTGCTCCCCTAGAAGCATGGCCCTTCTCTCTGGATACCACTGTCAGTAGCTCCTATGGTCCACAGACCCAGAAGCTCCTCTTCAGCCCTGGCACACACAGCAGGGCAGCCTCTGTCTGCTGGAACGTCTCCTGGAAAAGCCAAGATCTCCCCCAGGTGAGCACTTCAGGGCCCCAGGGGAGATATTCCCGGCCTGCCCCCCAGAGCCTGGGGCGCTGCCTCCCTCCCTCCCTGGTGCAGGCCCACTCTGCCACAACCCGCTCTCTGCCAGGGGCACAGGCTGGGCTGGGATTAGCCTCCTTCAGCCAGCCAGGGTGACCCACAGCCTACTTCGCTTCAGGCTGCCGGGCTGCTGGGCTCCTATGGGTGTGCAGCCTCCAAGACTCTCGGGATGGCAGTCAAGGTGAAGCAGGGACTCAGACTTCCAGAGGACAGAAGTCGCACTGGCCTTCTGGACTTCCCCCGTCTTCAGGGACAGGGCTGCCCTCTAATCCTGTGGCCACCCAGAGGTCTGCCCACTATGCTCGCTTTGGCCCATTTGAACACCTCAGGGACCAGACAGGACTGGGATGTCCAGCAGCTTGTGGGGGTGGGGTGGGGGCAGAGGCAAGTTCAAGAGGCCACAGAGCCCGCTGCACCCTGGTCCTGCAGCTCATCCCAGGCCAGTGTTTCTGTGGACGGGAGCGTTCCATTCAAGAAGGCTGGCTAGAGCCCCAGGCCCCTAAGCCTCAGAGATGAGCCCCTCAGGAACGGCAGCACCTTCACCAGGCCTGCCAGGGAGCCAGGAGCTGGGCAGGTGGGAAGCTGGGAGGGGGAAGGGTTCTGCAGTCCTTGGAAGAGCCGAGGCTACTGGCCCCCTCCAGAGCCACCCCAGAGGCTGCTCTGACCCAGAGCCATGACAGGGTGGGGAAGAAAGCAAATGGAGGAGGGGCAGCTGGGGTGGTTCCCAGGAGCCTAGAGTCCCAGAGGGGGCTTCTGGCTGTGGGCTCCCAGTGGGGGAGGGGACCTGCCGGCCTGGAAGGGAACATGGGGAAGGAGGAATGAAGGAAGCACAGCCCCTACTACTCCCCCAGAGGAGGTGGCCCAGGCCTTCCCTAGGGAACCCTGGGAAGCTGGTTCTTTCTGGAAGGCTGGAGAAGGGCCTGGCAGGACTGAGCCCTGTACGCTCCCCCCAGCATGAGTGCACCCCCTCTGCATACGCCTCTGCCACTGGTCCCTCTAAGACTTGCCAAAAGGGCTCTGTGAGTGACCAAGCTGTTGCCCCTGATCTCCCAGCCCAGCATCTGAGCAGAAGAGGACAGGAGCATTGGTCCCCTTAGGCCCTGGCCGGCAGGCTCGGGGTCAGCGCCGGCAGGGTCCTGGGTTGGGCTGCCTTCCAAGGGATCTGGTGCCCACCTAGCAGCCTACAGCCCTTGGCAGGGTGCCTGGGAGGGCCACCATCACCCCTAGCCCCTCAGTATGAGCAAGACCCCCGGCTGGCGCCAGCATCCCCACCCACCCGTGGGGTTCCCAGGACTGGCAGCGGCTCAGTGGCGGGCCTGGACACTAGAGGGAGCAACTTGGAGCAGGGACCAAGCTCTCCGGAACACAGATGAGTGACAGGCGGTCGTGGTGGGTAGGGGAAGACCTTTTCAACCATGAGGGGTGTTGGGGGGTGAGCAAGGCAGGGGAGGGGCCCTGGCAGGTGGGGCACCAGGGACTCCGGGGCTTGGGCTGGGCCTAGGGGTGGGGCGTGTGCTGGGGATTCTGTGGGCTGAGGACACGTGACTCCCAGACAGGCTGGATATGGTGGGGGGTGGACCTGGGAAGCACAGGAGACGGCAGAGGGGGAGGTCCCAATCCCACTTCTATGCAGGGTGACAAGGACTCAGAAGCCCTCGCAAAAGGCTCTGGGTATGAACCGTCAAGTGTGGACTCATTACAAACCACTCCTCTGGGGACTTGGTGCTGTCACTGGAAGGGACACTCTATAGCCTTGTTTGAATGACTGGAATGTTGCTAAGACAGGAAGCTCGTTCTTGCCTTGGAAACATCCCCTTTCCTTTCCCAGACTCCCTGTCTATGCAGTGGCAGGGCTAATACCCACTGCCATCTGGGTCCTTGGAACTTGAAGGTGGGCCAGGGAGGCCGGGGCTGCCACCCACAGCTGGCTAGCTTGCCATGGGAGCCCTCTCTGCTTCCTGGCTCAGAGCTGCTCCCACCACCCAGTCCTGGTAGCTTGGAGGCAGCCCTACGTCTTCAATACACCCCCATGGGCTTGCCCTCAAAGGCTCGCCAACGATGGCCTACAGTGGCCATACATGGACACACTCCGCCCCAAGGCACCCCTGCTCACACACCAGCTCTCCTGGGGTGCGGCTGGCACAGGCGCCTGAACGTTTCCAGGAGGTGCTCACCTGCACTCCTGGACGCAGGCCCCTGGGAACCTTTCTGGCACAGGGGGAGGGCCTGAGCCTCTCCAGCTTGTCCCAATTCCAGCTACTTGCTATAGGGCACACAGCTGGCAGGCCAGGGAGGGGCAAAGGTACAGAGACAGGAGCCCCTGAGGATGGGACCTGAGCTTGCCTGCCAAGACACACCACTGGAGATTCCTGTGGCCTGCGCCTGCTGACCCGGGTGCCCCTGCTCTGCTCAGCACAGGCACCCAGCCCCACACAAGGAGCAGTGAGGAGGTACTTTACTCCCTGGGCCTTCCAGGGCACTCTCTTGCTTCCTCTCCTGGGTCCCTTGGCAGGCCCCTCTGGGGCCCCAAGCCAGGTCTGCCCTGGGGAACATGGCACAGTTGCGTGATTTTCTCTCCTTCCCCTCCCCGCCCATTCTGAGTAGCAGTCCAAGGGGGTCCTGCAGACAGACAGAGCTGAGCCACCCAGGAAACCCCAGCCAGGGCGCTTGTAGCCAGGGCTCCCAGGACCCACACTTCTCACAGAGGAAGTAGAGGCAGGGCAGTAGCCTGGGGGTGAGTGAGGAATGTCTGGGCAGGGTGCCTGGGAAACCAAGTCTCTCAGCCCAGGCCAAGGACTGGCCTTGGGCAGCGTGGTGGAGGACTGCTCCTGGGTGCTGAGCTCAGTGGGTGCTGGGTGGTCCCCGACCTGACCCAACCTGGGCCAGGTGCCAAGTCCTGGAGCAAGGAGGCACCTGGCAGAGGATGGCTGAGGCAGTGGAGTATGCGCTTGGGACTAGCAACGATGGGAAAGGGCCCGTGGCAAAGCTGCGGTGCCAATCACCCAGCCATGCTCTAGGGTGGCAGCCAAGAAGAGGGACCCCGAGGGGGAGACAAAGAGACAAGAGCTGGGTGAAGCAGAGCAAGGTCAGAAGGGAGAAGGAGAGGCAGGGGTGAGGGAGGGGCGCCTGGAAGGCGGCAAGAGGAGGCAGAGTCTGGCAGGGACCGAGGGGGCCACAGGGTGGCGGTGACGGGGCACAGACCAGCAGCCAGCAGCGAGTGCTGGGGAAATCTGTGGATACCCTCAGGGCCCTGGGGGCCGCAGGACCAGGGCTTGGGACAGCAGAAGCAGGAGGGCCAGAGGCATCTCTGGGTTGTGAGGAGGCAGCTTGAGGCCAGCGAGGGGACTGCAGACAGCGCAGGGCGGGAGCGGGGCTGGCTCAGGAGCCCTACCTGGAGAGGGGAGGCGCCAGGCGCAGGCTGGCTAGTTGGCAGGCTGGGGTGGTGGGTCTGTCTGTCCTGTCTGTTCGGCGGACGGAAGGCAGCTGCTCACTCCTGGGCAGTTTGTGGAGAGAGGGAGACAGAGGCGGCGGGAGGGAGGCTAAAGGCTGGGCAGGCGGGCCGTTGGGGAGGGGACAGCAGGGAGAGGGCGGGGAGGGAAGAAAGAAGGGAGGGGGCTGGTGGGGCGGAGAGGGCGGGCAGTTGGGAGGGGGCAGGCTTACCGGCCCCCCTGGCAGCTTCAAAGGGAGCAATTTTCTTGTAGACTGCTGGGCTAGCTGAGCCCCCGCCCCCCTGTCACACACCCCCCCTTCCCTCCGCCCCTGTCTGGGGCAGACAGCAGAGGAATGGACACAGTCTCATTCCCTCAGACAAGGACCCTTGGAGTCTCTGGGCAGGCACTGCCTCAGAGTGTCAAACTTTCCACTGCCCAGATGGGGACACTGAGGTGCTGGCTGCCATCTCTCCAGGCGGAGGAAAGAGATGGAAGGAAGACGAAGGGGAGGCGGCTTTGGGCTGCTAGGCCTGGGAGTGGCCCTGGAATTTGGTCCTAAGCTTGCGGGGAACCTGCTTCGGCCTAAGCAAGGAGGTGGTTTCTCGGGATCAGAGAGGGAGCTGCTGTGGACTTCACGTATGCTCCTGGGCGCCCTGAGCCCTCCCTTCCACCCCAGCCTTTCTTCCCTTGAAAAGAGGGCCCGTCCATCTGGTGGTGGCAGGACAGGGCAGAGGCCTCGCCCAATGGCTTGCCCTGAGCTGATTCAGAGATGAAAGATCCAGCGAGTCAGCCTTCTTGCTCAGTTCCTGCAGGTCCCCTCGGACATCAGAACTGCTCTGTGGGTGGCCACTTCCTCTGGGCTCAACCCTCTGCTGGTCACTGCCGGGGGTGACCAGGTTACCCCGCCAAGCCTCGGCCACTTCCTGAGGGCCCAAGTGAGTCCAGCTCCTCCTGTGTCTAGAGCCCGGGTCCTTAGCACGATACTGCCCCCCTGTCCCGTAGTGTCCCCTTCTTCCCTCAGCAAGAGCAGCTCCTGAGACACAGGGTGAGGGTTTAGATGGAGTGGGAAACTGAGATCCACAATAGAATTGAGAGCAAAAGCTTGAAGGGGCAGAGAGGGAGAGAGGTGGCTAGAGAGGATAGGACAGTGGCGAAGGCTCAGGGTCTTCACCTGCCTGGCAGTGCCATCTGGAAGGCCGCAGGCCAGGGCGGATGCTCCCAGGATGGCCCTACCTGGGAGCATGGCAGGGCACAGACCCCTCCCATGTCCCAGAGGCAGCTCAGGGCCTGGCCAGGATCTGGGACACATGGTGGCTTGGCCTGCTTGCAAGAAGCTTCTAGGCTGGGCCAGGGAGAAGGGAGACACGGGAAACCAGGGACTAGACTGGGAACCCCGCTTTCCTCTTGATTTCATGATTGGGATGAAGACATTGGAGACCATGTGTGCCCCTTCCAGACAAAGGGGGTGGCTTGTCTTTTGGCAGGTTTGTGTGTTTTACCTTTTGCTGTAAACATGCGGACATACCTGGCAGGAGAAAGAATGCTATCATGGTATTGTGAGCTCCATGCAGCCTTGCCCAGCCTCAGTGTCGGACTCACGGCCGCCTGGTCTCATCATTGTCCCACCCTCTTTCCATCCCCCACTGGATGTGGACCCAGATGCCAACTCATTCATGGAGAAACCCATCAGTAGAGACCAGGCCTGACTAGCAGTCTGGGTGGAGAGAGAAGCATCTGGAAGCATTCCGCTCAGTGACAGCAGCCAGTGGCAAAAGGCCACAGACCCTCCGGTTCCATCCATTTGAAATGTTCACAATAGGCTCATCTGTGGGGACAAGGGGGTAGCTAAAAGTATGCGTTTTCCTTTCGAAGTGATGAGAATGCTCTCCAATTGACTGTGTGATGCTTACACAATTCTGTGACTAGACCAAATAATAACCCTTGCCTGGTACGTGTTCAATGGGCAAATCCTGTGGTAAAGCTGTTTCAGAGGAAAGGAGAAACTCACTCGAGACATTCATGCTGCCCAAGGTGCTAGTACCCAGTCCCTTCCTGCACTGCTCCGCAGTGAGAACCCAGGAGCTGTCACTCAGGGCCCCGCCCTCCAGGAGGCCCAGTGGCAGTGACACAGCTCTGAATACCGTGGGGACACAGGTCCATCTACAGTGCCAGAGGCTTGGGAGGGCTACCTGGAGGAGGTGACCTGGGGCAAACCAGTAGGGAAGAGGGATGTAGCCGGTGGAAGGAAGAGCCCAGGTTCGGGGGCTGTGGGGAGACGCAGGTCTCAGCCAGGCATGTTCCTGGAGGGGGCTTGGAAGTGGCTGTGAGGTGACACCCTGCTTGGGGAGACACATTATGCATGCACCTTGCAACTCTTACCCGAAGTTGGGGGCTGCTTCTGGGGGAATACTCGTGTAAATACGGTCCTTGTGCTTGGAAGGTTCTTGTGTCTGTGGTTTGCAGTCTGCAATAAGCCATGACTGCACGCCCGGCCCAGGACCCACTGAGTCACTCGGCCTGGCCCTCTAATTTGGGGGCCACTCCCAGACCAGCCAGGCAGTACCTCTGTCCTAGGGCCGTCCCCTTCTGCGCCCCCTTCCGCTCCCCTATCCTCAGGCCTGGGCTCTCTCTGCAGCACAGAAACAACCTTCCTTCCTGCCTTGCTGGCCAGCAGAATGGGCAGGCGGGCAGGCAGCCTTCTGCCCTTCTGGCCTCTCAGGGCTGGGAGGAGGCAGGGGGAGACAGAGGAAGCAGGGGGAGGGCAGGCATGGGGGTTGCAAGGCAGGAAGGAAGAGCAGGCATTTCCTGAGGCCCCCAGGGCTCCTGGGGAGGAGGCAGACACACCAGTGCAGGAGGTGGGGGAAGCAGAACCTGGCCCCTTCCAGCACGGCCTGTATGTGACCCTAGCTGGGATGCTTCCCCCAAAAGGCTGTAGAGGGTGGGGAGGTCCTGCTGGCACCAGCCTTACCTTGCCTCTCAGCCCCGGGGAGCCGTCCTCCTGCCAGATGGAGCCGAGAGCTCAGTCCTCTCCACCTGACAAGGAGCCTGAGCCCTCAGCTGTGTGAGGAGGGCAGCCCTGGGCAGGCTGCTCAGGCTTCTGGGGAAAGCTGCCCTGCCCCGGCAGCTGCCCCTGCCTGGGAGCCCCAGGCCACACTGTGGTGAGCCTGCCTCTCATCTAGCCCTCGTCAGGCAGCTGCCAACCCAGCCTGCCTGGGGCACAGCCCAGGACAAGTGCTGGAAGGTAGCAGGTGGGGAGGCAGCCATGGGCAGGAAGGGCGGGACCAGGGCACATATGAGGGAGGGAGAGGGCCACAGAGGCAGGGGCTGAGAGGAGGGAGGGAGGGCACAGGGATCTAAGGCAGCTGCCATCTCCTTGGCCGTGTGGGGAAGAAGACCTGGAGTCAGCTGCAGCCCGCCCCCCACAGCTGGCCTGCAGCTGTCGGTGCCCTGTCTTCAAAGCTACAGCAGGGAGGCCCAGGAGAGCAGAAGGGTCGGGGGGCCCAGAGGGCAGGCTGTGGGCGTGAAATGCTGGCGGGTAGTATGAGACCTGGAGGGCAGAGCCTGGGCACCTGGGATGTGGTCTCTTATGCAGAGATTCCCTTGCTCGCCCTGTGATACTCCAGGGTCTGGAAACTAGAACTGGGCCCTAGGCTCTCTCTGCCTGGCTCCCTGTGTCCGGCAGGCCCTCGCACTCAAACCCCTCTGCCTGGACAAAACTCCCCGTGACTACCCCCATCCATCCTGATGGTGTGAACAGAAGGGCCCATGCCTGTCTTGGGGAGAGCCGAGAGAGCTGGGACAGAGAGCCGCAGTAGGGGAGGCAGACAGGCAGCATCCCGATCCCCTGGACCGTCAGCCTCAAGAAGCAAGGAGGTGACAAGTGCCATGCGCCCATACAAGACTGGGGCAGGGAGGGCTTCTATGGGAGGAGACAGTGCCCTAAGGCCACCTCTCAGTCACTTGGGGAGTAGCTCTTGCAGAGCCTCAGCCTCCAGGACAAATTTCCAGCCAGGGACCTGTCACACATCGAGGTTACCTCTTGAGCAACTGACCCTGCCCATAGGGGACGGAGTTTACACACTTGAGTGGCCCTCACTCCCGCCTGCGGGCTTTGCCCATTCCCAATGTCCACACCCTCGGGGCAGACACCAGAGGGTAGCCCCGCCGCCACTCAAGGGTGTCTGGATGACTTGCAGCCCAGAAGCAGCATGAAGCTTTTGCTCAGCGGGGACCTCTGGGTGCAGGAGGCTTGCACCAACATGCCTCGGGGCGGCCAAGCTGGTGCCGAGCGGGCCGCGCCTCCACTATCTGGAAGCTTCCCAGTGCTGGATGGCCGAGGTGTGGCTGCTGAAAGCTGGCACTCTCCATGCCAGGAGCTTTTTTTGACCTTCCCCCGAGGACATAATCACACAGCATCTCTTCTCTCGGGGCCACCAGGGCTGTAATTTCAGGGCCGGCACGGGGGCTCAGGGGAGGCCCAGCCTGCGTCTAGCTATCTTTAGAGAGGCATGGCCTGGGGCGTGGCCAGAGGACAGAAGGTGGGTTGCCTTGGAAGCCAAAGCCTGTGAGCCAGAGGCCAGGGGCACCCTAGAACCCCTGTGGTCTTCCCTCAGGGAGGCCAGAACCCAGGAGTAGCACTGGGAGGCTCCAGTGGAAGTGGGGAGGGGCTGGGCCTGTGCTGAGCCCTGACTTCAGCTTGGGGCGATCTTTGGCCCAGATGCTCAAAGATGGGGCGGGACAGCACCTTGCCTGAGGGCCACACAGCCCAGCGTCTCCCAGACTGTCCCTGTGTGACCGCCATAGTGGCAGCTACTATGGGGGCAGGGGTGGGGGTTGGCACCGTGGCAAGATGTTTGCGAATGGGGGTGTTAGGCTGGAGGGAGGTCTGGGAACCGACTGTGGGGAAGGCGAGGTGTGGGAACGTGGGGGTCCAGCGAGGGTCATTTGGAGAAGAATTTGGAGGCTGATGGGCAGTTTCCTGGGACTGTAGCTGGGAGAAGTGGAGCAGAGGTGCAAGGTCCCAGCCAGGTCCCAGGCTGGAGACACAGGCCCAGCCCCAGCCCCAGGGAGGGGTGGCTCCCCACCCCCATTCTCTACCCCTCTGACTTGTGAGCTGTCACCACTGTCCTTACCCTCAGTCTCACCCCATCACTTCAATGTCCCCATCTCGATCTGGGGATCGATGAGCACCTCCCTTCTTGCCACCTGACCCCCAGTCACACCTACCCTGTCGTCATCACTGTTGCCATTGT